TGGACAGCACTCCACTGGGTGGTGGGCCTCCTGAGGTCCCTGAGACCGCTGATGTACCCGTCGTTCCGGGCTGGGAGCCGCCAGCTGCTGCTCCGGTTGTTGGGGTTTTCTTTTTCGTTTGGCCAAATCCGAAGAACCTAGATGACAGATTGGTAACAACATGGAACGGTACTTGGGCCAGAAATTTAAGTTTATACCATTCACATATGTTTAGAAAAATAACCATGAACATTTCAGGTGCTTAAAAATTGGGAGTATACAGTGGAATTGATTTACCTTATTGGGCACTTATTTAAATGTGTACGAGAGAGACAATGACAAGCAACACGTATCTAGAAAGATTGTCCTATATAAGCATGCACAGCTTCAAGCGCGGCTTTTTTAACTTGCTGCGTTGCCATGTGTTACACCACTTTCTTTCATTATGATGGATGGCGGAAATAAGCTCGGCTAAGCGTTCTACGGCTTCTAAATCCAAAAAAGAAGTCTCTCTCCAATTTCATTTTCATTTTTATTAAAACGATTTATTTCATTCATTTCTTAAGCAACCTCTCAAAGGTCTAATACATTCGCACAGACTTCAGTATATCGTAGTGGAACATTTTTGGTATTGGGATTGATGGATTGTCGGAGAACCGCTGAAACTGGTTCGGAATCGATTCTAAAGCGACAGTACACAATTCGCGATTCTAACATATCTACATTCAAAATAAAACCACCATTTTGGCCTAGAAAAAAGACTGCTTATTTTCACCATGCATCAGAAAATAAGGAAATGCTGTCGCATTTGGCAATGCGGCAAGTTACAGCTGCGCTCTTGTACACATTGAAAGTGGGGCCCAAAAACGTAATTTTAGTTCTGGCCAAAGTGGTTTGGCCGTTTAGATTTCCAATGTATCCGAGAAAGAGAGAGAGAGAGAGAGAGAGAGAGAGCAGCGTGTTAGAAAGTGTGCGGCATATAAGAGTCGTCACCATGTTGTCTGGCAAGTGGTAGTGACGACTTTTACATGGCCAACTCCTTCTAAACGTGCTTCTCCCTCTCTTTCTCTCTCAGGTACACATGGAAATTTAAAAGAAAAAACGACTTTGGTCAACACCGTATGTGAAAATCGTGCAAATTGAAAGTGCTAGTACATTACATACCTTGGTGGAGAAGTGTGCCATTATTATATATAATAATAGCCATCACCACTTTTCCACAGAGTTATATATAACACTATTAATTTTACTACCAGCTATGATATATTACCACATCTACAGTGATTAGACTTTCAAATATAACATTTCAACCTGTCAAAATAATGGGATAAATAAGAACAACCAACAATAATAATTGGACAAAAGTGAGCCGACCCTTTAATCCAGAAACAAGGGTAGGGGGAATCCGGGAGACTTACCCAGGTGGGAGACTTGCCCCTCCGTGATATATTTACTTTAAAATTGCGCACCATAATCTGAAACGAGAGAAAACGGGACGCTTCTAGGCGTCTACGAAATCCTAGTTGACTTTTCTCAGTTTTTTTTGTATCTGACCCGAGGCATGTGGCTTTTTGCGTTTAAACCAAAACATAATACTTTTACAAATTTCCTGATTTGTGGGCAAATTTAAGGTAAGTTCTTGTGTGGGTATGTTAATTAGACATTGTAGATTTATGCACCATTAATGTTAAACGTGCTCTATTCATGATTTTTAAGAAAATTGAACCTAACGTGAAAAAGAAAGGTGTGGGAGACTGGCCCATACCTCAGGAGGGAGACTTGCCCAGAGGGGCAACTCTCCCTTTCTCATGTAATTCTAAATTGGTATTTGTTTTTAATTAATTTTAGTAAAAGTTAATGCATTTTTTTTTATTACAGGTCTGTACAATGCCATTTAAGTACAAAACAAAAGACGGTTCCACTCGCAAAAAACTTGATAAGGATGTTCTTAAAAATGCACTAGATGAACTAGCCAAAGGTACTTCTCTTCGAAAAACTTTTGCAAAATATGATATTGATCGGAGGACTTTGAGACGCTACAAAAACAATGAAAATAAACTTGAAACAATAAAGGCCAGTATAATACTTACAAATATTTACCATCCAAGAAGAGAAGCTTCTGGTTGAATATTTTTTAAATTGCAGCAAAATGCACTATGGACTTACTCGAAAACAAGGAATGAAATTAGCTTTTGAGTTTGCAGTTTTGGATTCCAAAAAAATTCCAGAAAGTTGGTCAAAAAATGGTATGGCAGGGAAGGATTGGTTTCGCGGTTTTTTATCAAGAAATCCCGATATTAGTTTAAGAACTCCGGAGGCAACAAGCTTGTCACGATCTACAAGCTTCAGTCGGAAGAATTTAAATGATTTTTTTCAAAACTTAAGGATTGTACTAGAAAAGTTTGAACCACAAAATATTTATAACAGTGATGAAGTAGGATGTACTACAGTTCAGGATTGTCCTATGCATATTAGACTTTTGTTTACTTTTATTTTTCATTCTTACCGTCATACTTTTTTAAAATTATTTTTATTTGTTTTTTGCATTAAACTTATGTTTATTCTGATTTCAAAGATTTAGATTTAGTTTCGTTCTTGAATAAGTAAAGTTTTTTGTTTTATTTTTTGAGTTTTTCGAATACAAAAGTTATTATTTACATATGTTTTTATTTAATAAGGGGGGTGGGAAACTCTCCTTCTGACATTTTTTCAAAAAAATAAAAAACTATATATTTTTTTCTGACTTATTTTTTAAGGTTTAAATGATGAAACAAGGTTCCTAAAAATATATGCTACGAAGTCATTTATTGATTTATATAAATAGGAACAAATTTTATCACCAATAATAAATTGGGAGGGGCAAGTCTCCCGGACTTCACCTATACTTTAACAAACATTTTTAATGCGCGGAATCCGAATCCGTGGTTACCAAATCTCTCAACTGGGTCTAAATGTGCAAAAACAGCGATGTTTGCCTATATTTGAGGTACCGTCTGACCGATGACTGTTCTCTAATGGGCAGTCTGGGACTCCTTCGCATCGGCGGGCCGTCGGAGATCCAGTACTATTTTACAACTATATCAACTTGCTTTGCCCTTCAGAGCTTTCCTCCATGATGCCGCCGCACAATGACAGACCCGCCTGACTTCAGCTTCTCATCCTAACCGTGTCGTGCTTCGTACATCCAGAACTGGCCGATATGACTGCTCCTTTGTCCCTAGGCTATCGAGACAATCTACATGAGGATGCTTTTTCCAGTTAGACGGCTCAAAAATAATATTAGTAAAGTTTCCTTAAGCTCCTCTTAGAAGCCGCTATGCTTCTGCCTGCGCGGCTGCTTCGATATAGATCAAGTAAACGTCTTGCTTTATCACCTGCCGTTGATATATATATATATATATATATATATATATATATATATAAGTCTATCGCTAAGATGTCGTGTTGAAATTTCCAGTTTTCTGAATTTCACTGTATTTGATACTCTACTCGTTAATGATTACGTTTGTGTTGTTTGGGCGAGTTTTGCTTATTGTAAGCTAGATCGGTTCAGCTTTTATCAGAAGAAAGTAAGGAAAGTTGGGGATTTATGGGTTTTAACATTTGACAGGTCCTTTTTCATGAAATTGTTATTAAATTTTTGTTTTATTATAGTGCCAACCACAACTTTGATGCACACGAAATCATAACGCGTGGAGTATCAAATGGAGTAAAATTCAGAAGAGTGAAAATTTCAACATTACCTATCTCAGCAAAAAAATATACTTAAACAAACTCAACAACATTTGAAAGCGCAATGCGAGCTGAAGATGATGTCTATGTTTTTTCATGACAAAATAGTTCTCCATGCTAGAAATCCTCAAAAATAGGCAAACATCGCTATTTTTAGGTTAGGATATCTGAAAAACTATAGCCAACTGAAAGCTTTGAATCATAGATTCGTATTAAGCGCATCAAAAACCTTCGGGAAAGTATACTCTGGATTCCGGGTAAGGATCTTGTGTAATTTATTTGTGATATTCAAAAATGGATAAAAGGCTTAATAGCAGTGACAATTCTGTGCTCAAGTAGCCAAAGAAGCTCTACATCAATGTACACTTCATAATTTGCCTAGGCGGGAAAATGTAATTCTTCCTTATAGGTGTGCAATAAATAATGATGATTTTGCATGTTAGTGGTGGAAAAATCTTTACTCCATAGAAGAAGAATTATTATCGTCTTGAGTCTGCTCAAGACAGCGTTACACTTTTTGCTAAATGCTATTGAGTCGAGAAATATAATCGCAAAATTGTTCCTAAGGCTCTGAGAAAACTTTTCTGATATGCTGAAAGATACGTGAACATTGATAAAAATGACGATAGTCTTGCATTTTCAATAGCATTGTTTTGCATCTTAGTTCTTTGCTCGCGTGTTAAAAAAAGGGATTTAAAATTCGTAAACTGATAAAGAAGCCGTTGAAATACTGTATATTTCCGGTCGAAGGAAATTGCCAACAGTATTTGACTTTTATTATAAATACTGGTAGTTCCTACCATACATTAAATGCCAGATTGTCAACCTGGGGAATAAAGGTTACTTTCCTCATTCTGAGCTGCTTTCCAATGGTTTTTGATTTGAGAGTGATACTCTCCCGAGCTGCTTCAGAAAGAATGCATGAGAATACAACGTGGAATGGTATTGGATCTGAGCACTACTGAGTTACTCCGAGTTACTCACAGTAACTCAACAGGGTCAATGGAAAGCAGCTTTGACGGAAGCCGAACTTTCATGTCAAAAGTAGGGTAACATCTAAAGAAATGCAATAAATTACGTCACGCTAGAGCGTGTATGTCATATCTCGACCACAAAGTATTTAACAAAAAAGTCTATTAGTCTATTAGACGAAGTTTGTTATTTTTTTATTGTATTTTCCGTATCTCCGTTAACTTAATGTAGAGTGTCCGAATATTTCAGTATCTTTAGTACTCAAGACTGACTGATTCGGTACTGATTACATGGATGTTTTAAGTTTTTGGAATTTTTTAATTTGATGCGTACCTTTTCTTTTGTGATGGCTGTATACCCGTAGCCAATAGATTTTTGTAGTACTCGGACCGAATGAACCTAGGATAACAGTCTTTCTTCAGCAACAACGTGTAGACATGCTCTTGTGCGGCATCAAATGTGAACCTACTGGGAGTTTTCATCTCTTGATGCACTCTCTCCATCGTTTTTCCGTCAATGTTGATCTCACACGGCGCTCCCGGAGCCAAGAACTCCCTAAAGAAGAAAAATTGCTTTAGTAATGTAGTATGAGCGGTCTTATCTATCGAGTCATAGCACCCGCACCGTATTCAGATCCAGCACTTGTAGTAAAATTACAACTTACTATACTGTTCCCACGTTGAACACGAATCTGATGTCAAAATTTATATGAATATGAAAGTAATTTATATACATATTATAAATGAAATTTTTTGTATTTTTCTGAGATCTCTGAGAGACCAAAATATGTGATATGATTACTCTCATATTTGTCCCGCGAAAAAAATATTGTGGGACCCCATCACTTATGTATTTTGAAGACCTGTGTTATTTCTCATATCTGCGCTTTTTAATAATACCTATATATAATTATAGTCCAGGCGAAATGTGTACCTTTAGGCCCGTATCGTCAGTCGTCCCTACAGTTGTAGGGCGCGTTTATGGCCTCCTTGATTGTCATACTCCTTTCTCTCTTTCAAAAATTTCTAGATTACACTTGTCCCGTGTCAGCGTCAGCGCTCTCCTATTGTGAAGATATGTTTTCTTTTTAAATTGTAGGAAATTTCAGGCTGATAAAACATGATATAACTCAAAAGCAAGCACAATTTGATGCAAATAGATGTTGGTGACATAACCTGAAAATAGAGTTCTGACACGGAGAAGTAGAAAACTATGACAATCAAGGAGGCCATAAACGCGCCCTATAATTGTAGGGCCGACTGACGATACGGGCCTTAGGGACTAAGGCTTTCATAGCCACCATCAGGTAGAATAACCTTTACGGCCCGAAGGGTGAAAATCTCCGAAACTACGACATACGAGTACACTAAAATCTCTCACTCACTTACCATAAATAGTGTGTAAAAGAGAATACTGGCGCTTTGTACTGTCACAGAAAAGAATATCTACCTACTATTCTACCAGAATCGAAATTACCCCTCCTACCATTGTTTCAGAATTGAAATTACCCCTTCTACCATTGTACCAGAATTCTAAGCACTCCCACAAACAATCACTGAAAATGCCTACGAGTATGGCGTATGGTTGTGTTTCGGTAAAAAAATTAGTTCCAGCAAACCCAGGAAAACTCAAAAATGGCATCCAAGTTGCTGTTTGATAATTTGTTCGACAGATATTTCACTCAAAAGTGATTATTACGATATTGTTCACTGTTTTATTGGGCTGCATATTCAGGTGCATTTGGAAACAAAAAATCCACAATAATTTTTTTTATGATAAAGGAGAAGGACCAACCAATCTCCTTATATAAATTGATCTTTGTGGAACCAATTGTTGGAACTTCGAAACAAAAACATTTTCATGATACTAGAGGGCAGGTCGCGTCTCAGATCGGGGTCAATTTCGTTTTATAAAGATTACCTATGACGGCACGAGACTATGAAAAATCTCGTTTTGCTAGATCGAACGATTTGGTCTTTAATCATACTAGAGAAGATATACAGGGTGTCTCGAAGTTAAGGGACAATCCTGCAACTGTATATAGGTCACGTCATGGTCTACTAGGTGGTAAATTTTTGTTTTATTAGAAGTCTTATAGTTTTCGAGATTTTCAGAATTCCATTTTATTTTTTGAAAAACTGACTTATATTTAGTTAACCCCGCGCCGTTTCTACAAATATCACCTTTTTTTGAACTAAGTTTGTTTTAACACACTCAGAATTGAGCATTTTATCTCGTCCAGTATTATTTTTCTTTGCGATGGCGAAAAACCCACATAAAAGTTATGCCAAGGTCTAAATTTTTATTGAAACTCCTTGTCATGTCTGATTTTGACACCCTGTAGAGTTAGATGATCAAGTATGATCACTGAGCCAAATTGTCGAAAAAGTTAGCCGACTATTTGCAATTTTTAAATGGTATTAGTGTTATTTGCCCTCTGCTGTTTTTTTTTTTCGTTTTATTGCAGTTTTGGGGGAGGGTCAGTTTTCGTAGATATCAGAAAATAACAATTTATGGCTTGGATACAAAAAAATGGACAGGATTTAAATTAAATGATGATTTACCTGTAAGATATCAATGTAGCAAGGTCCACTGACTATTATGTTTGTCATAAAACTTTTTTCAGCCTACAAAAAATAACTGCTCGAATGCTCAAGGATGCCTTGATTTTGGAACTCAATTCTGTTACTGTGGTGAGCACAGCTTGGCATATAAATTCTCTAAAGCAACCCTTATAAGAGAATTTAGTGGATTTAGGTCCAATGATCTTGGTAGCAATGAAATAAGGCTGCGCAGCCTGATACACCTTAATGAATTTTGAAATCGAAGTGGTTTCGATCTGACCGAGTGTGATGTGCCGGAGTATTATATGGTATTATTGTGTTGCAAGAGATGTGTTTGCCTTGATAGACGTGATAAATACTTACCTTTCTCGCGTTTTATCACCTACTAAGACCAAGTATAATAATAGTCCTTCTTCATCAGAAGACTTTTGAGAATATGTGCAGCTATCGGCCTGAATGTGATTTTTAACGCTGATGCTAACGCTATCGCTGTATCGCGCCAATGTGGGAGAACCTTTAATGTTAAATGGTTACCGCTGCTTTTAGGATACATTTGCAAATAAACCAATAATTCAGTATACAGTGCATCCAGGCTTAGGCTTGCGATCTCAATCCTACAATGTTGGTCAAATTAGGGAAAAATTCCGCAGCCCTTGTCCGACTTGGAGTTCTGAAAAAAATATAATTTAAAAAATTTACAGAAATGTAGTTTTTCCAAATGACTCAAACTCGGGCGATAGCAGCCAAATCATATAAGCTGCATGTGAAAGGTATATTATATATATATATATAGGTGAAAAATTAAAGCTTCCCCCTTTTGTTGGGTACTTCGACAAAAATTTTAAGCAAAGAGGACTCTTTATACTTTTTTTATTCTCTCTAGCTTTCAATGGATTTTGCCATCATCATCAGGAGCTGCAATTACATTGATAACAGCAGCAACAATAGTGTAAAATGAATTTAAATTAACTTAACTTACAGTAGTAGGTGAGGATGTTGCTAATTTTTGTTTACGTTCAGGATGAGGAAAACACCCAGTAACATGGTGAAAGCTGGATAAATGGTACAATGGTCAAAATTATATAAAATACACACAACTGTGTGACAAGAAAAAGTTAAAAACAGATTAAAAATTTTTAGAACATGAAAGCATTACATCGTGAAGCCACTTGATGATTGCACAAAATGGTGGGCATGGAATAATGAGTAAGATGAACCCTTTGACAGAAGGCCGAAGGTTGTCAGTGTCTGTATATATATATATATATATATATATATATATATATATATATTTCCTAATTCAACCAACACTATAACTGCTTTTGATATTGTAATCTTCACCTTGGACACTGTTTACTTAACTGTTAGTTTTTTGCGAATATCTCTCAAAAGCTGCGGCAACCAATGGACATCTAGCAATGCGATGGTGTATTTGTAACATAGCTAACCATTCTATCGGCTCAAGCTCCAATAACATCCATATACCCCCTCTAGTATGATGAAAATCGTAAATGTTGGGTCTGAATATTAAAAACTGGTTCTAGGTGTACAGACCTATTCGACCCGTTCAGAAGCTCGAGTTCGAAGTTCATCTGATTAAACATTAACTTTGTTGATTTTCCGAAAGAATAAAATCAATTTTAAGTATTAGCCGAGCAAGATAACAGATCGTAATTTGAAGTCCTGGGACAATTTCACTTCGGAATAATATAATACGGGGCGGGGCTTAACGCTTTCCAGGGACAGAAGTAACCAGACAAAGAAGTTGTCAAACAGACTAACATTATTATTTGTTTGGAGCTTCATACTTTAGGGACATCACAGATACACTCCAAAAAAAGATGAGCCCGATCTGAGCCATGACCTGCCTTCCATTATAATTAAAATGGCCAATGTTGATTCAAAGTATCGAAAATATAAAGACCCTAGTACAAAACTCAGAATGGGAGGGTAGCCCAGTCTTTGTCGTTTTTTTTTTGTTTCGGAAGGTGTTTGAGTTGCCAGTCCAATAAAATAACGAAAAATTTCGAAAAAATCGGTTTTGGCCGAATAATCTGGCGACCAAGCAATTTGGACGTCAGTTTTGAGTTTCTTTGACAAATTTGCTCCAGAATATTCAATTGTTACGAAGCCTAATGCTTTCTTGTGACAGGAGTAGCGAATAAGTGAAAAAGCTCCCAAAACGTTAAAATTTACGCTTTTCCAGAACAGTCAACCTTTGTTACGCGTCTTCAGATCTAAGTGTTTGACATAGAATCCTGAACATTTCCTAGAAAAAAATTTATAAGTCGTGACTTGCAACCCAGTCACAAATCATTGTACTCTCACCATTTTCAAAATAACGCCGCAAACGTTGTAGCACATTCACCATTTATGTAGAATCACTCAAATGTTCAAGCCTGATCCACATTTATATTCTATACTCACTCGAATATATCCTGCACCTTCCACGATATCTGCGACTGCGCAGACCTCCTCAAATCATTTACCGCCATCCAGAATCGGATGTTCTCGTGGCTGTACTCCTTCCGCAGGTAGTTGGTGAACTCCTGAAGACCCGTAGGGTCTGAGACCAACTCCTCCATGGACAGCGCCCATCGTTTCACCCGTTTCTCTGTCGGTGCGTCAACCCTACAATGAGAAAATCTCCGATTTGATGAGGTTTTGGGGTTGCAGTGGTAGTTTCCATATTGTAGTGCATTCACCAAAATTGAAAAAGTTCTAGTTTAAGAAAAAACATTGGAGCACAAGGGTTAGTTGGAATTCCTTCCAAAATATTTTACTTGTGTGTGCGGATAACATACCGAATATAAACAAAGTAACGGAATGGCTCTGTGCTTTTCGAGTAAGTTTTTTTGGGAAAAGGTCAAGGGTCAGGTTTCTACTAACTTTGAACCAGGAGTTCAACAGTGATTTTGGACTTGACCTTGAGCCTCACG